TTTTCTCAAAGTCCAAAAAAAAAAGCTTAATCAGCACAAAGTCATAATGTGGCATTCAAAGTTAAGGCTATGCCAAGAAGGAGTTTTAAACAGTACTGGAGTGACCATAATCAGTATTCCCCAACTGAGAAATAGTGAAATGATGATTAAGTGCCCCAAACCTAAAGCCCAGAAGAGTTAGGTATTTATGCCACACGATAAACAGCAAGTTGGGATACTGTGATAAAAGCAGAATCATTTTTTAAAAAGTAACTTAGCTGTTCTATACTTCATTAACAGTCCCCAATTACTGAACTATCTAATAAATATTCATTATTAAGGTAAAAGGAATTATTAAATGGATGCATATGCACTGCATTTTTTATATCCCCAAATATTATGAGGTCCATTATATAATCCCATCTAATATGTCAAAAATGTGCAATAATTATGTGACTTTTTCAACTGAACAACAGCTATATTAGGTCAGGTTCTTTACCCAAAACAGAAGTCAGTTTCAGACAGTGATCGTTGAGGAAAGTCAGGTTTGCATTTCCCAATGTCAACTTCAAAGGCCATGGATATGATGATAATGATGATGATCATTATGATAAATCATTAACAGTAGCAAATGCTTTTGTAGCAGTTATTACATGCAGAGCATGGTTCTGAGATCCTTACATACGTCAATTTACTTAATCCTCAGAAGAATTCTGAGACATGTGTCACTCTAATCCCATTTTAAGATGTGAAAACTGAGGCAAACATAGATTAGGTAATTTACTCAAGGTCACACATCTCATAAGTTACAAGGCCAGAATTCAAACTCAGGAAGTCTACCTCCAGAGGCCATGCTCTTAACCACATGCAATATCCGTTTCCTGTCTAACTCTCAAGACATGCTAATATCCCCTTTATCATCTCCTGACTGAGTGCTTTTCTTTACCTGCATTGCTACCTTTCTACGAACTCTGTGAAACCTCTTTGTTTTAATAATTCATAAATACAATCTTCCTAAAATGTAGAATTCAGAAGTATAGGATGTGATTCTTGTACCCTGTTCTAGGTAATCTCATGCCAGTTCTTGAAGAATTCTTAGCTTCTGAGATTTGAAATTTCACTAGTGCTTCATATTTGTTATAAGGAGGAGGAAGACAGGAAAACACTTACTAGTATCTGGAGTTTTCTCTTCAGATCTGCCAAATAAAAATTCATATTTGGCCTTGGCAACACTCTGGGAATGTGCTGATGCATTGTTAACCCAAACAAATGTCTCTGCCTGCAAAATTAGAACAAAACAGAGATATCATTAAAAACACATCATAAAGCAAAACAACCAACAAGAGGGTGGTTAAGCAATTATGACATATCTATTTGATAGTATGCTACACAGCCATTAAAAACAAAACATGAAAAACATACCATGACTTATGTTTTGGTATGACTTGACAGAATACAAGATTACAGCTATATAAAAAAAGTGAAACACAAACATCTACAGGGGAGTAAGAAAAATATGGTTTGGCTTGAGAGGCAGGGTTATGGAGGAATTTTTTTTTAATTAGGTTTACGTTACTTTTCTGTAATTAGAAAACTATATTTTATTTTTAGACACATCGTTTTCCAAATGATTGTCATTACCCACACCCCACAGCAGGAACATTTCTGTATGTAGGTTCTGCTAAAGTGTTCCAACAAAAAGTAGTCTTTCCCCCAGAGAGACCACATTTTTATTTAATCAGGGACATCATCTGCCAGACAGGGAATAGAATAGAAGAGCCAGGCATTCCCTGTATATTAATTGGTCTAAATTTGAGCATCTGCCCCAGTGGCCTTAAAATTCCTAAAACTCCCCTATTTGAAAGAAAACCTACAAAGGTGACTGTGAAAGTGTTTCACATCATGGTTCTGAATTCCTACAACCTTCTTCCTTGTTGCTTTAGACAACTGACAAAAATCAGGGGTGCCTCCCTTCCCTGGCCTAGGATTAATTAAAAATAATAACGAGGTAGAAATTTCAAAATACAAAGAAATTTGACCTAGTCCCATCAGGGAGCTATTATTCTGCCTCTTTCTTCCAAACTCAAAAACGAACCAGGAGCCAGACATTACCTACACTGGTTTCCACCCTCTAATTTAATGAGACATTTTTTTCTCATGTCTGAACAGCAAATGGCCATTCCACTTTAGGAGAAAGAAACATGAAGAGTTTTATCAGCAACCAGGCAACTACTTCAAAGAGGGAAACTTTATGACTTCTATTATACCCTTTGGACCAGGAATGAGTGACAGCAGCGAAGGCCCACGACTGGGTTATGATTAACTCCATCACCCACTACAGACGGGTTCCGCGGGCAGGCCTCTCTTTGGTCTTGTATACCAATATCAAAGAGCTAGCCTGTACAGCTTGAGATCAGCAATTTCTGAAAATTGCTCTACAATCAGTTAACGTTCATAATGTGAAAAATTCATCTTTCTGGAAAAGGTGTAGGCTCCTCTTGAAGTTACATGCTTTATAATCAGAAGCTGTTAATTATCCTTTTCCCCAATAGAGAGGAAATATTAATTTTTTGATGTGTTTAGGGAACTTTCAGGCTGGGAAAAGAGGAACTTGGCGCCCTAATTTAGGTAGGGTGGTTTGGGAAGGTTCTCTGAGGTGCTAATACCTGCAGAGTTGAGAAAAATGA